ACAAAAACCAAGTTTTATCCTCCTCTCTCCTCCCCACAGCAGCGGGCTGGGACCCCTCACCTGCAGGGCCCAGGTGTGATCACTGGGCAGGACAGCCCGCTCAGGAGAGCCTTGCAGCCCCAGTCTGCTCCAGCCCCCGCCACCGTGCAGCTCGCTGCTCTCCCTGTTGATCTCAGCTCCCCTGCACTGAAGCTGTTGGATTCTCCCAGAGGAGGACGCCTCCCCAAATCACTCACGAAAGACGTCTCTTGATGCAACAAGCAAGAGGAATTTATTCAGGAACCAGCTAGCTGGGGTCCAAGTTAGCCCGACGCAGCGGGTCTCAACGAGGACCCCGAACAGTCAAAGCCAGAGGTTTTTATAGCATAGCATTTTCAAAAAGACAGTATTTTCTTACACAGTGTTTTAGCAAGATAAGCTTGGTATGCATGACTATCCGACCAAGGTTAGCAGTCTGAAGGCCGCAGCTGCCCACCACCTGGTGTTCATGATTAACTGATTTGAGGTTAGCTAACTGAAGGTCACTACATTTAACACTGGCTGACTAACTTGTTTTTCAAGATTCTAATAATTTTCCTTCTCCTAGGTTAGAGGGTGGTGTTTAAGCCTTTAAGATGGCTGTACTTATGCACTTATGCTAACTTTTGATTTTTCAGATCCTACAAAGCTTCACATGTGAAGCCACTGTGTGATGAGCCATTACATCGCCTTGTGTCTACCTAGTTATAGCTAGAAACTTCTGATGGAAAAGTATTATAGGTTCAGCAAAATATCAGGCATATTAAAAAATAGACTTCAGACATTTTCATTCATATTAGGATTCATAAAACTGACTTTTCTTGTACCTTCCCTAGGAGCTACTGGAGATGATGTCTGGCAAATTATGAAAGCAAGGCAGAATCTCCATGATGAAAACCTGATACAGGCCTGAGAGCAAATAGTTCAGATTTTGTTGGTTTTTAGAAGTATCCAGAAGGGAAGACTCCTAGGGAAAAGGGAGGAGAAATTAAAAATTTGGGGACAGGGACTCTTTTGTCCCCTCCTGGTATGAGCCAGGACCTCTGTCCTTTCACTTTATCTCTAAAGAAAAGCCTGTACCTTGCTCTCCTAAAAAAAAAAAAAAAAATTGGGGGACAATAGAAGAATATGTAGATAGAAATTATACAAGTGGAAATACTGAGGCAATTACAAACTCCAGGAGAAACAAAAAGTTCCACAACTAAGAAATGTACACATTGTGTATTCACCACCCAGGAATTCAGTGAACAGTAATTGCATGTTTATACAAAGGATATAAATACAGGTTATTGATCTAACTGTATTGGAAAATGTCTTAAGACATGGTAGAAAATCTCTTAATGTCTAAAATTGATCAAATCAAGAAAAGTGGTATAAGTATATTGTCTGAAGCATGGAAGTGATTACCAGAAGAAACAGCTAAAAATGAGTGGTCTCTGAGTAGTGCTGGGTACAGAGAGGGTGGCCAAGGTGTCCATTATTTTCATCGTGAGACCTTAAATTCTGTTTAAGACTTTCAACCACAAGTATGTTTTATATTAATAAATATTTAATAACTTCAATAAATAAGTATTCCCAATGATGACCAAGCTGATGTCTTGTCCTGAAAGGGAAGGAGGAAGAATTGGAGTACAGGTGGTACAGAGCCCAGAGGGCAGGACCCCTGGAGGACAGGCAGAGGCAGACCCTTGGGGACAGATGCAGAGCCCAGGTGGGAAGGGGGTGGGGGCTGGCACCAAAGCTGGGAGGTCGGATGTTGGTTCCAATTGAAATCTCCTGACTTTAATCTCTTCATTTTTATTTTTCTAATCAATGCTTGGAAATATTTATCCTAGTGTTCCTGCATACCTGGTTGGGATCAGAATTTAATGTGCCATTACATTTATGCACGTGACCAGGACACATTCAGGAACACAAAAGCTTGAAAAATGAATTCCCAGTCATGAGAAGAAACATGGTTATTGGAGAAAGCTGTGCATAACCATAAAGTATTCGCTTGGCCTCAAGAGAATGTTAGCATAACTTCTCTGGGGAAAAAATCCATCTAGGATAATTGCACAGAACTGACCACTTTCCAATACAAGTACGGAATTTCAGTTCCACCTAGGTTTTAAGTGGTGTGTCTGGCTCAGAAAACAAACTTAAGCAACTAGTTTCCTGGTGAAAACCTTTGTTGGCCTGCTGGCACATGTCTATTTCTCGCATGTCCACACTCACGAAAGGGCAGAGCTCTGCAGCACTGACTCCATAAAATGAAAGAATTGCTTTCTGGAGATCTTATTGACTATTTGGTGCTTAAGGCCACATGAGCAGTGATTTTCCGTCTCCACCCTGTGTTCACACCTTCAGTAGCCTCCCCTGATACTGACTTTGGGCAAAACCACAGGTAGAAAGATAGCAAATGTGATGCAAGCAGAGACTTGAAAAGAGCTGCATCTGCCTGGAATCCCACAATCCCGGTGGGAATGAGCCCAAGCGAGCTTGCCGGGGACAGGAGGCCACGTGGAGCAGCACCAGGAGCCTGGCTTCCTGCCTGCCCACTGACCTCAGACAACAGGAGAGTCCAGCAGAGGCCCACCAACTCTTAGACTTGAATGTGGAAGAAAATGTGTTGTTTTAGCCTCTGAACTCTGGGATGCTTTGTTATGTGGCAAAAGCTAGCAGTGCAGTCCCCGCTTAAACCCACTTCTGAGGAAGAACGGCCCCTCTCCCCCAAACAAAATTGCTTCCTTTTTACAAAGATGTGGCTGGAGAGTAGCAAAGACCAACACTTTCAACAACTCAAATACGCTTCCAGAATCCAGGTGAGGAGGATGGGTCTCATGAGGTAGAACTCTGGGGGGAAGGGAGAGATGGGAAGAGGAATCAGGGGCTCCTAAGGAGGCATGCCAGGCACCACTGTTCCCTGCAGGCCCACATTCACTGGCACCAGATGCACAGGTCATCTGCCCATGCTCAGGGCCCACCTTTAGAAACAATCTTAGCAGCTATAGAGAAAAGCTCCTAACTCACCAGGTGCCATGCACAATAAAGTCATTTGAAAATATGCCATTTGAAAATATGCTTTCCTCAATCTAGCAATGATGCATTCACAAATACACAAACTGGTAAAATATTTGCCTCATTTAAAATCACCTGCACTCACTGTTAAGCCAAAAGAGTGGTACTGTTGGTGCTGACAGTCATTGAAGCCCCTCTTGGAGCTCACTCACTGGAACTGGTCACAGCTGCCCACTTGGGCTCTCTTCTCTTCCATACTGTTCCAGCTGCACTTGTCCTTCTCTGCGGGGCTTGGGGACAGGAGCTGCTGTGGACTGCAGGCCTGGGAGACTGCACTGTCTGAGCTGGTGTTCAAGGCCAGTGCGAAGACATGGGCAGATTGCAGAGGGGCACATAACCCTGCACAGCAGAAGCCCGGCAGACCCACCTGCACGCTGCAGCAGTGACGCCACATGCTGACATGTGACTCGTGATCTGACAGTGAGGGGGACACAGTGTCACTGTTGTGGTATTGTTGCTGTAGTGGATGACCTAGATTCAGTCATGAGATCTACTTAAGTCCAAGTCATTTCCAAATAAAAAGTTTTAAAATTTAACAGTAAGAAAAAAGGAGGAGGAGGAGTCAGGAGGGGAGGCAAGGGGAGCCATGTGCAGCTGCGGTTCATCTGCTGATGAAATTCGGAGAAAGGCCAGAAGACCCCAGGCTTTGAGTGCTGGCCATGGAAGGGCAGCATCAGAGGGTGGAAGGGGGAGAGACCACCTGTGGGTGCCCTGCAGCTTCACCTTCTGGTGGAACAAATGTATCATTTGCAGAGGTGTCCCAAACCTTCATGTTCTAGGGCACCCCACTTACCAAGGGACTCCCCAGGTCGCATCATCCCTTTCTGAGCCCCTGGGCAGGAGTGGGGTGGCAGTCACGATGGCTGGGACCGCCCACCCGCCACCTGCAGGACTTCGCTGCAGCCGGGTGAGCCCTCTACCCCGTCCCCTGCTCCTCTGCTGCCCCACACCTGGCAAACTCATCTCTACAGCTCCTTAGGGAGACTCCCAGAAAGCCCCAGGCTCGGCCGGGCTCCTTTTCCCCCGAGTCAGCTCCCTCCGTGGGTTCCTGTTCCGAGGTGCCCCTCTCCAGTGGCTCCTGGCCCCAAGGAGTAAGGAAATGCGCTCTGTGCACCTTCGGAAGGCGCAGGTGGCCACCAGGGGGAAGCGTGGGCGCGTCACAGGCCAGCCCGGCAGCATCTTGAGCGGCCTCCAGACTTCGACACCTGAGAGCCCTCTCGCACCACCCTGCCGGCCACAGCCAACTCTGATGGCGGGATCGCAGGGCATTTCTAGTCTCTGCCCCTTTTTGTATTGTCCGAATTTCCTATAATTAGGAAAAGTGACTTTTAGGACCAAATCAATTTTATTACTAAAAAGAAAGAGGCCAGGTCAATAGAGGCCCGTTTGGGGGCATCACGTGAATAGACATGTCTGGCTTCCCTTTCTCGCAGTGTTCTCCACGGAAGTGTTTGTGGGCAGGGCACCATGCTGCAGGAGGTGTGTGACCAGGGCCTCCGAGACTCACCAGGGCTGCACAAAAAACCACCCAGTCCACCAACACTGGCAAGCAGATGGCACCCCAGTGAGCACCAAAGCCAGCATCCTGCAGAAACCTGCAAGGCAGGCAGCTCGTTGAAGCATGTGGCATGATCTGGGTGCACAAAAGGGCTGAAAAAACTAGCCCCAAATGAGCAATCTCATATACGAGTATTTCTGCAAATAGCCTCAATAAAATATTAGTAAGTTTTATTCCAGAGTTCAATAAAATAATAATACAACATGGCCAAGTCAGTCTTATCTCTCAGGAATGCAAGAATTCAAATTACTCATAATTTGAAATCTACTCATAATTCACCACACCAAGAAGCCAAAGAAGAAAAACTACGTCATTATCTGCAGAGATAATGGCATTTTAAAAAAAATTCAGCATCCATTGCTAACTAAATTTTTAAAACAGTTAACAGTAAGTAGGTATTTTTTTCACCACTTGTTGGGGACATCCAAACACAGTGAGAGGGTGTAATGAAGTGACAATGGGGCTGGTGGCAAATTCACATGCCAAGTACCCTCTTCTGTATATAAATAAAAACCAGTTGGAGGAGGAAAGAAATGGAAAGTTTTCTTTACAAAGGCAACAGCACCACACATACATACGAGCACAGAAACACGCCGCACGCAGGATCACCCAGGAGCCAGACCAGAGAGGGACAGAGCCACCCAGAGGAAACGAAGCTGGCCTCATTGTGGGTGGAGCTCCGTCCTGGCACCAGCCGGTTCCCATGGGGCGTGAATTAAATGTGGATTCACCAGATTCTCTTTTGAACTGATGCTCAGCCTGTTGTGAAAACACCGAACATGTGTGAAAACCCAAGAAAAATTTGAAAAATACAAGAAAACAAAGGAAGATCAGCACCCAGATGTTAATGTGGCTGGTGAGCCAGGTGCCCACACCTGGGTAGGGAGACTGAGGCACGTCTTGAGTGTGCGTTCTCGGCTGCAGTCCCACGTGGTAGCCACTACCTGCACACGGCCACTTAAATTCAAGTGTAAATTAACTACAGTTAAACATAAGACATTCTCTGGATCTCCGGCCTGGGGCCTGGCCACACACATGGCAGTGAGCTACTGCGGCCACACAGGAAAGGACACCAGGGGAGGCCACATTCAGGGAGGTGCCGGCACTCAGGGCCAGGGGCAAGGGCTTGAACTCAGGGTGCAGGCACCTAGCTGGCCTTGTGCTGGTCCCAGCCCTGCCCCAGGGAGCAGAGCACACAGTGGAGAGAGCAGGTACGTGTGGCCTGGACCTTCACACAGACAAGGAAAGCTTGTTACTTAACTCACAGCCAATGCCCTTGTGTGCACACTGGGAGAAAGGAGGGTCATTCCTTAAATTGTGGTGGCACATTGGCAAGTCACTTGGAAACATAAAGATGGGTCCCTTTTTTACTCTACCAATTCATGTACAAATTCATTATATCCCAGCAGAAGTGCTGTTGGGCACATGTACACAATTGCTCTTTGCAGTAATAGCCAAAGACTGGCATGAAGTCCTTTGGCGTAGGACCGGACAGAATAGCTTACAGTGTACACGCACACAAAATGCTCAGCAGACATTAAAAATAATTCAATAAGCCAATAGCTGTGGAGTGTGTGCTGCACACCGTCCTATGGGCCAGACATAGGAATGTCTGTTCTCAGGGTGGTTATATTCTCACTGGGGAAAAAGACGATATATTCATGATAGATAGACGATGGTATAGATGATTGGTGATAGATGATAAATCATAGACAGGTGATAGGTGGCTAACGTCAGAGAAGGGCTTGGTGGGCATGAAGCAGAGGCAGCAGCTGGGTGCCATTGGGATGGGATGGGCAGGCAAGAAGCCTCTGGGTAGCCCTGTGGGCAGAGGCATGGGTGATTGGAGAGCAGGGGTACTGCAGAGGGGGTGGGGAATGGGCCAGGGGGCAGGAAAGGAGAGGGTGGCATGATGGGAGGAGCAGGGGTGCAGAGAAACAGAGAATAGCCCTGGCCTCAGGCTTTGGTCTGAGGCGATGAGAAGCAGGGAAATAATGTAGATTCCAGTATCCTCAGGACCATTCTAGTAGCTGTGTGGGCCACACATTCCAGGAGGTCAGGAGTGGGGTTGGGGGTGGCCAGGGGACATAGGAAATTGTCCAAGTGAGCAGCCAGGGGTTCTGGGGCAGGGGCTGTGGAGGAGAAGGGAGGGTGTGCATTTGGGGACAGGAGCCCCTGATGGGCCAGGTATGGGGCGCCCGGGAAAGGCAGGAATTGGGGATGTGTCCTAGGTTTTTGACCTGAACAGTGGGAAGCCATGAGAGGCTCTCAGTGTGAATATGAAGAAATCAGCAACAGATACCATGGAGCAAGAGGTGGAGCCTCAGAGCAGCTAGGACAGGGCGGTGAAGGTGCCCCGAGCTGGCCAGCTGAGGCCCTGGGGGCAGCCCTGCATCTGTGGGCATTAAGATTATTTATAAGCAAAGTGTCCTCTGCAAGCGCAGGCTGTGGTCCATGTCCCCGTGACCTTGAGGGTGAGCGTCCCAGCGCCTTGGTGCCTCTGCACATGCCCCACCTCGCCCTGCCACCCTTTCCTGTTGCCCTGTGGGAGGTCAGTGGACACCTTGGGGGCAGCCCCTGGCTGGTTTCTGCCATTGCAAATGTCTTCTCTCTTTGTCACTTGCCCATTGGTTCTATCACAGAAATACTCATTTTTTATGTAAGCCAGAGGCATAGACATTCTATCATCTGTGCTTTGGGGGTTTCGTTTATCAGTTCTTTCCACAAGGACGCTATGCTAACTGACCAGAGGCTCTGAAGCACAATATAGGATGAGGAACTGAGTGAGAGAAGGTGAGGAACAGGGCTGGCTGTGTGGGCCCTGGTGGGGTGGACAGAAGATTCTGAAGGTGTTGCGGGGAGAAGCAGGTGGAACTCCAGATGTGCCCACCTGGTTGTGGAACAGACCTAACTAACTACTTTCAAACGACGCAGACAAATGGAATGCTGTGTCAATGCCATCTCCCTCCTGGTGCTAGTTTGAAGCCTGGCCTGGGCCTCAGGAGCAGAGGGCTCTCATCTGGGACTTGGAATTCAGTGCCACACGTAGCAGCACCCAGACTGAAGTCCTCCTTTCAGACCTGGATCCAGCGAGGTTTCACCAGTGCTCCACCCACAGGGTCAGCAGCAGGACTGTTCTCATTCCCAGGCACCAGCCCCCACGTCAGGGCAACACTGCAGCAGCGACGCCGAACCTGGAGTTACAGTTGCAGAGACATTGTGAAGATCAGAAATTCACTGATAAGCATTTTGTCAGGTCACTAAATTAAAGAAAAATCTAAAAATGAACCTTCCTGTGTTGCAAACTTAAAATAAACTCTTCTCAGCCCCCAGGCAAGCAGACTGGCTGGGCACAAGCACACTGGGCATAGTCCTTCAGCCAGAATGGCCTGCTTGCCTGCAGTCTGTGTTTTGACGAAAGATGCCACCATGACTATGTGCTCAACAATTGTATTGACGTCAGCCACTGATTTTATAGATTTCGGCAACTTAGTAGACACCACACCGCATAGAGCAATGCCCATCTAGCATCAGCACACATGTGGATCGTCCGGGATTCCTAATGGATGATGTTTGTGTGACCCTCAAATTCACATGCAGAAGCCCTAACCCACATGGCGGGATCTTTGGAGGTGGGCCTCTGGGTTAGATGAGGTCATGAGGGTGGGGCCCAGGTGACCTTCAACAAGAGAGACAGAGGCCTCTCTCCTCCACATGGGGACACCGAGGGCCTGCGACCTGCAAGCACGAAGAGGGTTCACCACAGCCCCACCATGCTGGCCCCTGACCTTGGACTTCAGCCTCCAGGACTATGAGAAATACTTGTCAGTGGTGTTTATCATGGAGCCTGGAGCCCACCACATATCCACACTTTTCACAAGCCGCTGGCCCCCACGTACGGTGTCAACAACTCAGCTGCTGGTCCCCAGGACTGGCTGAGGGTTTCAGGTGGCAGTGAGGTAGGGTGGGAATCAGAGTACTCACAGGGAAATGGGTAGGGACTTCAGTGGGACACATCCATGTACTAAAACCCCACAGTAGCTTTCCCTCTGGATGACAGGATTTTTTCCATTTTTCCAGAGAAAACATGTTTTGCTTTTAATTCAAGTGCCAAAAGGCACTTGTAGAAATAGCAAGTTATGTAGTGTGTGGTGGAAGGCTGGATATACTCTGCCTGGCAATAAGAAAATTAATTGTCGGGGAAGAAATGTCTTCAGAACAATCATGTTGTGACAGACCCACACTCTCCCAGCTGGACCAGCCCTGGGGGAGGAGGCTCATGTCCTGCAGGGCTGATGGGGCTGTAGGGGCGCCATAGGGTGGCCTCAGTGGGGTGCTGCACCCCCTCCAGGTGCCCAGGCACCTGCCCCACACACAGTCCTGAGCGGCTGCAGCCCACAGGCTCGGTACAGTTAGGGAGCTGCATCTGGCAGCTCAGGAGGATGTTTACCAGGACAGACCTGTTCCTCCTTTCAAGAAGTTGGTGGTTGTGTTCAAAACACACACACACACACACACACACACACACACACACACATGCATGGTTTGGGGACTTTCTATGTGCCAAGAGATGCTCTCCCCTCCAACAAGAATATGTAATGAAAATATTATAATTAGACCTTAAATATTCTCAGCACAAAAAAAAATGGTAACTATGTGACAGGGGCGAGGCTGTAGCTGACCTAGGATGGTAAATGTGTTTCAAATCAACACTTCTACACCTCAAATTTACACAATGTAATATGTCAATTACATCTCAATAAAGCTGGGAAAAAGGCCATAATTAAATTTATATGCCACTTCTTGTTTTAGGAAGAAAACAGCATTCTCACATGCTTTATTTTGGGGGCAAATAACAAACAGGTTAGGTGCACAAATACATCTTTAGTCAACCCCTGAACCCCCGTGATGCTGGGTCTCAGTCCCCTGAGGAAGTTGCTTGATGTGGGGAGGTCAAGGTGGCCCAGGTGTGCATGTCCCCAGCCCTACCCTTGTTAAGCCAATAACAGAGGGCCTGGGTAGAGGGGCATGGGGATTCCTGGCACCTGTGGAGCAGCTTTGCTGCAAGTTCCCTGCTGAGGGACCCAGAGAGCCAGTTCTCAGACAGGAGCTGGGCTGGGGATTTCCCGTTTCCCGTCGCCCAGATGGGGAGCACAGCTCAGCTGGAGAGGAGCAAGGAGACGCAGGGTCCCTGGCAGGCAGGCTGGCAGGGGGGAGGCCCCCTTGCTTCAGCAAAGACTGGGCCTGGGCTTTGCTTTACCTGGCTTGAGGGGCACCTTTTAGGAGATGTGGAGGCTTCACCTTGAGATGTGAACATACAGCCTTGAAATTCTCCTTCCTTCTAAGATACCATGATGCTATTCAAATAAGTGTAAGAAAACAAAGAAAAAAATCCCAAGGAGACTCATAATTAAAAACTACTCCCCTTGAAAAACAGAACCAAGTGTTTGAGAATGGTAGGTCTGGAGTGCTTCACTTTCCAAGTAAGGCCACTTGGTTTGCCACGAGAGAAGGAAATCAGGGCTCCAGGTGGAGACAGGTTTTAATAAAGCACACAGATTCTGCAAACTTTAATATTAAATGTAGCTGTGGAAGCAAATCATTAAAATAAATAGATCTCTAAAAATATTAAAATAATTAATAAATACATTATTTTACCTGAAAGAGCCAGTATACATGCACGTTTTTTATGGCTTTCCGATAGCTCAGTGTGAACATGCTTCAGCTCCCATGAGAAAGCTATGCAAATAATGAAAATTACCACCAGCCAGGCTGCGGGGGGCACTCCGCCCCAGTGTTTCCCTCCTGCTGGAGCTCAGCACTCCTGCCCTGAAACCTAACAGCACCAGAGTGAAGAGAAAGGACGCAGGCTCTTCTCCCAGGGTCGCGCTGAGCAGCTGGTGTGATGCCACCTGCCAGGGCACCAGGACCCCAACTCATCCGAAGAAATTCCGAAAGACATCGGCCACCTCCACCCAGTTCTGGAAGCAGGCCAGCCCACGCTCCCGGATCTGCATCCGCCCCTTGTCCGTGATTACCTCCCCGCTGGGCTTCACGATCACAAGCTTGGGGATGGTGGTGATGCGGTACCTGGCCCTCAGCTCACTGCGGAGAGAAGAGGGTGGCCAGCATCAGCTCTGGAAGGTAGCCACTCCCATCTGAGGGAGCCAGGGCCCCACATGCTGGCCCTGCAAAGCCTTCCCCGCCCAGCCTGCCATGCCCTCCCGTCACTCGGGTTCCACTGTGCCCCTCCTCCCCGTAGCCTGCTGTGGCCAGCGTGGGCCCTGGAAAGGTCTCGGTGCTGGAGCTGCTCCACACCTGTGCCGCCCAACCCAGGGCCGCAGCCCCACTCAGATGTGACTGGTAGGCCTGAGGAACTGGACTTTTCATTTTATGTCATTTTGATTTAAATGTAAATATCACATGTGACTAGTTACTATCAAATTGGACTGTGTGAGTTGGAACATAAATTATCAAAAACACTGGCCCTTCTTATTGATGGGAAGAACCCTACACTCACCAATACCCCAATATGTGTATACCCTCCTGCATCTCAACAGTTGAAAAATTTCAGGTACATATTAAAGTTAAAACTTCATGAATCCTGGATAAATGCAAAGCATGCCAGGCTTTCCACCCTACAAATTCAAGGACATGCTTGTTAATGTTATGGATGAAACGCCTCTTGGCTGTTTATTCCGCCATGAAAAAGTGATGCTGTGTGTGACATTTTTTACAAAATTTTTTGTATTTATTTAGGGAAAGGAGTGTCCACCTTCTTAGCTTCATGCTTCTCCCCATAACCTCTGCCGGGATGCCTGGCCCCCAGCCAGGACAGCTGATGAAATCCTGCCGCTGTCCATGGCCAGCTTGCACAGCCCATGTTAGCAGTCATCTGTTTTCCCCACCTGTCACCTTCAGGACTGTGAGCCTGAGTGGAAGGAAAATGCACTTGAGACCCTCCTGCCACCAAATCTCCTGTGACATCTTTCCCAGGTCTTCCTGCTGCTTTCTGGAGTCCAGGTCAAGGGCAAAGTATAACCCAAGCAGGAAAAATACATCATCCATACACCCCAATGAAGAGGGACTATGTCTTATTTTCAAACACCTGTGAAAGAGTGACAAAACTGGCAGGTCCTTGGCCACAGAGGCATCTGAGTAAGTCTCAAGTGACCAGTGATCTGCAGACCACTTAACCAGGCCCTGATGGGATGGAAACTGGAAACCAGTAAGACATAACTTTTTGGAATGAGTCTAAAAACTACATAACCATATATGTAAAATAGCAATGTAGACTACAAAATAATTAATAGAACAACATAGAATGTTCTATGGCTCCCAAGCTGTAGATACACTCAGGCACAGTTAGGAAGCAGTGGCCTTAAACAAACTTATTCAAAACTAAAGGCCTCTACATACACGAGTTACGTATTTACTCCAGGAAACTAGAAAAAATTATGATGGAGGGAACACCAGGAAAGCAGAAAGAGGGCCAAGAAAATTAAGGACGGGATCACTAAAACACAGAGTCAGCTTGGAGGGGCCACACAACCAGACCTGGTTCTTAGGGAAGACCAGCTAAGCTCTCCCATGACGGAGCAAGGGACAGGGAGCCAGGAGCATCAGGAATCGGGCCGCGGTGACCCCCCCTGCTCTCAGGACATCACTCGGTGACACGGTCTGGCCTTTTTCAGAAGGAAGCCCTGCGCACCACAGGCCAGCAACCCTGGAAGTCCCCACGATGACTGATGTGAAAAGGAAAGGTGAGAGGAAATTATCCACCATTCCATAAGAATCCTCCTCCCTGAGAAGACACCACAGAGACGGCCCTGCAGAGGCTGCCTTGCAGGACTCATGGACGCGGACGCTGTCATGCCAGCTGCAGCCCGAGGGCACGAGGTGAGGTGGTCACATGCAGCCATGCAGGCCCTGGGACTTAAGGTGGGGAAGGGCATGTGGGGACCCAGCCCTCTCCAGGGCCTGCCAGACCCTGAAATGGAAATGCCCAAGAAACTAGCTTTCCCCGAAGGCATAAAGCACAAACAGACCCAAAGAGAAACCGGGAGAACAGCCCCTGCAAAAAGGCTGCAGGGGACAGCCAGCGCCCCTCCCCACAGCCGCAGCCCGCAGTCCCAGCGGAGGGTGGTCCCCACACTGCTCCCAGGGCTGCAGGCTCAACCGAGCACCCAGCCCC